TTGCGCTTTTTAGAATTAATTGAAGGATATGTCTGAAAGTTTGCATCATGTTCTAAAAGTCATTTCCTACACAGGCTAGTTCCAAAGGAAAGTGCATTAAATTTGCCGGTATCACTCAATTTACAAATGTATACAAAATATTAATATTTCACTCTTTTTGAGGATGGCAAAATATTTTAAAACCTTTGAAATAAAAACTGGCATTTTGTATTTCTTTTGGGAGACGAAATTTCAAATATGTTTATACTTCTAGAAAATATATACAATTCCATACAAAGTTCTATTCGAACCCCCTTGAGCATTTGATGTGGCCCACCTAACTTACTTTGCAAGGAAACTCAGTAAGTATGGTAAAGCGATACGTCAAAGAGGGAGATTGGTAGCATTGAAGTCTATACAAAAACGTTGAAAGGTTCGTGAGTACTTAAATTTAAAAGAGGAGATATTACAGACTACTTAAAGTGTAAAAAACATTAATGCGTAAAATTATCACAATAGTTAATCACAAATATCAGGAACTTGGTGCTATAACATCTAGACTTTCAGGTATTGTAGGAGAAGCTCAAATGTCACTTGATAGCATCTTAAAAAAGTATCAAAAAATCATCTTTGCAATCCAAAAATGGTGCCACCTGTAAAGTGAAGGATTGTAATTGAGTTGTTGTGGTGTGAAATTCATTCTGTAAACTGCTCTGAGACTTATTTCGTGAAGTGTTTTCATGTCTAGAAGCTCACGTGTATCAAAACATCTTAAATAAACAGTTTTCAGGGTCACAAGTGCAGTTTTTCTGTTAGTAAACCAGTGTGGTGTTCCAGTAAGATATTTATTCTTTCAATACGGCATGTATCACTTATATATAGAAGCTAATATTAACATTTCAGGTTATTCCTTGAACTTCAAACCTAAACGTGTGGAATATAATGGAATTACCTGAAGAAGGCAACTTGAGTCGTTCGATTAGATCAGTTTTATCTTCTTCAATTGGTTGAGCTTTCCAAAAAACAATAGAGTCAAGTTAAAAGGGACACTCGATACGATATACCTGCAAGCATGTTTTGTAAAATAACATTAGTTATTTGCACTAATATCGTTGATACATCTATTAAGATGCTAATTCCCTTTCTATCCTCTCTGACTATGTGTCAGTATATGTTTTGCATACATATATTTGTACGCAAATGCTTGTTTAGGAAGTAAGTATTATATATGAAAGTGTAAGTTGAATTTTAAATTTATTTATATTGTATATAGAAACTAAAACTTCTTAACACTCAAATATAACTTGACTTTCTGTATATTTGTTTTGTAGTTAGTACTCACTGACATAAAACCAGAGAGGAAAACTTTGGATTTTGTTTACAATTGTTGTCACTAACTGTATTCAGTTTGTTTCTGTAAATTAGGACTTTATAAACAATATTTTGCTTGTTTTAAAATACCTAAATATCTTGAAAATAATCTAATATGTGATACTAGTTCTAACTTCCGAGCATTAACCACGGATGTTTTATTAGCAGATATAATTTCGAATTCAAACAATTCCATTCACTTCTCGAAATTTTGTTTGTGAGGACTTATTTTTTTGAAACTCATCAAAACACGTTTTCTTTTCATCCATTCCAAGTGTTTAATTTGCCGACAATACATGACAGTGGACGTGAACTAACACATACACGACACATACCTAACTATAAGCTTGCTTTGTTGTCTACTTCAAAGAACAAAACTACGTCTCTAAAATTAATAAATATCTGTTAATCGTGATCAGTGAAAATAAACCCCCCTTAAGGGTGTATACCGAGAAAGAAATATCTCGTTCTACAGAGTTTAATACATCATACTCAAGCGATTTTGAACATAAGCAAGTCACGTGACAGTCACAGCCGATATAACGTTGCGGTGGAATGGCATGTATTAGAACTACATTTTAATATTGGTTGGCCGTATGTAGGTAGTGTGATGCCTTCGAAAGTTGATCGCTTTTGGAAAATATGTGTAACAGCACTTTCCGATGCAAATATTTATTCAGTCAGACCCATAAAGATTTGTTCATATCGGGATGTAGAATTTCCAAGACTTAAGGAGATTGGAAAGCAAAGGAATATGGATCAACTTGGTGCAATCGAGAACATCCAAAAATGAGATCTTCAGCAAGTCGTACTCCAGTTTAGTCTGTACAGCGGTGTCTTGTAACAGGTGAGAATTCTCGAACACAAAGGTCAGAGGCAAAAGTAATCCATACGCCCCAGGTAACAGTATTCAACATAATCAACTAGGGTATCCGTCTGGAAGCGAGGTCAACAGGGTACGCGTTCACCAAAATAAGCATTCCAATATTACCTCCCCTTAAACCGTTGCGTATCTCAAACTGCCGGTGAATTAAACGGGTGTTCATGCTATTCCATAAAAATACATATCGGTCATGTCGCCACACGCAACGCCTATGGATTTCTGTGCGATCGAACTGTTGAAACGGGCGCTGGGAAATCGTCATACTCGTACACTAGATGGATTTTGAAAAGCTAACAAGGAGAAGTTGTGTGGTTTGGTCATAACGGTTTTACGATGGAGTCTTTTGCAACGCAAACTATGCTGCAGGGATACTGTCAAGATGCACGATTGTCAGATAGAATAGAACCGGACATAGCGCCATAGAATGTAACGAACTGGTGAGGCTCCAAACTCGTTTTAATATAACCTACTCAATCTCTGTTGTTATGACAGTATTGGCAGCTTGACATTTTGACTGCTGTTCTATAGGGTGTTAAATATGCAAATTAAAATACCTTTAACTGCTTACGATAGTGATTTGTCACCTGTCTAGCATATCATTTGTGAAGTCTAGCTTTGTTTTTTGTATTTACTGTATGTGTATAAAACTGATGCCAGAAAAAGGTCTTAGTATCGGTTAAAAACTCACAAATAACCATGAATTATACGTATTTCCAACATTCATTTTTGTTACTTTTCTTAGTCTTTTGTGTAATCTTAATTTTTGTAGATAAATGTTTGGAATTTCTGACGGAATTGTAAGAAATAAAACAGTTTTATCTAAGTATTATTTGATTTTAATAAAATGCTACCTGTGTAAGGAAACAAGCCTTATTACTCTGTAGTATGAAATTACACAATAATCCTTTCTACGGAAGACTATTTCAATTTGCTCGTTCTAGGAATTCAGCAAAAGCTGTTGTATAATAAATACATTTCTGTATTCTAACAAAGCAAATGTTTACAATGGAACGATCTGTTCATACAAAAGGATTTGTGAAAACTCCTTCCAAGTGTCATTGCATCACAAGGAAGGTATGCCAATTCCTCTGAACAAAAAATATTATAACTTCAGAAACATAAGAACAAATGTGTTTCAATTATTGGCAAGTAGTCTGTAAACTGGTACGGTGTAAATAAAAACAATTATTGATTGGTTTGACCATCAGAACAAAAACTAGTTTAACCTTAATGCATTCCAATATTCTAAGCAGGCAATACCTGTTATGTCAGGTCTTATTATGTTATTCGCAGTATCTTTATTTTTAACTGGTAATATCTGTTATCAGTATCTTAATCTTTACTCTTTGTAATTACGTTTATACATATAATGAAATGAAATTATCACATTTTGGGCACGCATTTCGTAGGTAAATTATTTAAATTGATTAGAGTGATGTATTCATTTATGTATTGTAATGTAGCTAAGGGGAAGACATTCACGGAGTCATGTGATTAGGATTTCACGATTAATCCAAATTTATGGATAACCTGCTTTTGGAATTATATTCATAATAATTTTACAAGACAGAGATGTTTAATTTACATTCATGTCTTAATTACATTGCTGAACTAGACTTGTAGGTTTGTTTAACATTGCCCCTACTCCATTATAAGATGACAAAGTTTTAAGGATATTTAGAAATGTAATTTGGCTATTCAGTTATTCTAGCTTAAGACTCGGCGTGGCCCAGGGTTGTTGTTATCTATATGGCGTAGCCCCCATACTAAGGGGCACCAAGGAAAGCTACAACGAGCTTGGAAGGTCTCCTAGGCATGATGGGGCATAGCAGTAGGTTTTCAGGGTCTTTGAATTCAATGTGGCATCAGATAGCGTGTTTCTGACCCTTTTGGAGATCCTGGGGGCGCCATTTCTGAAACTATATGTTTTTGAATACCATACCAGAGTAATTAGGATGCTTGACTTGCAAATTGCTGGTGGCGGAATAGAAAATCTTTGGCTAACATGCTAATCCTTTCAACCGTAGGGGCGTTAAAAAGTGACGATCAATCCCACTATTCGTTGTTAAAGAGTAGCCGAATAATTGGCGGTGAATGGTGTTGACTAGTTGCCTTAACTCTAGTCTATTATTTCAATATTAGGTTGATTAGCGCGGATAGCCCTCGAGTAGATTTGTACGAAATTAAACAAACAAACAATGTGTAAATTTGTTTGTTTGCCCGCGAACTCATCCCACATTTCAGGAGCTAGCAACGCTAAACTTGGCAAAGTTCCGTTATTTATACGTCTTAGTCCCCATATCTAAAGGTACCAAAGGACGCTAAAACGCACTCAGACACGATGAGAGAGGTTTGTTGGATCGTTGAACTCGAATCTGGCATCAGGTAGCATGTTTCTAACCCTATCTGGATTCCGGGGTTGCCATGTTTGAAACTACATGTGTTTGAATATCATACTAGGGGCCTTTGCTTAACATTATGACGTTCTCCAAAATAAGAGTCAGGAAGCTGGCCAAAGAATATTTGTTACTGTACTAAGACAACACTCATTGAACTTGTTTCGAAAGAATATAGTATGCAAGCATTTTCTTGTGGATGTAAGCCACACAAAAAGGATCATATTTTTCATTTAAATACTTTTCTTGCTGATCTTAAGTAAAACCATACATTAGTAATCAATAGTTACACTACTTATTGAATCACAAAAAAACAAAAAAACAAACGTGTTCCAAATAAACACACCTCTCTTGTGAAATGTACTGTAAAGTGGACAGTTTTGTGTATTCAACAGATAAGAAGCTTTATTTAGTTGTCTATGCTAAACCGATAAATAACACGCAATTTTCGAAGTGGAATATTTACAGACGTTAGACCTGATTTGCTTTGAAACACACATTTGCGAACATTTCTTTGCATAAAACCTCGTAACAGAGTACATACAATTTATTGACCTGGTGTAAAAACGTGTGAATTTGTTCAACTTTACTTATCGGGATCATTTCAGAATACTACGACACATTAACGACGTATGTAGATGGAGTAGGATCAACTCCAAACTGAAGTGGCATGCTTGTCATTGACATTGGAAGTATTTGTCTGCATGGAACTATATGCTCTAGTTGTTTCCGTTTTCCACAGTTGAAGTTGCTGATGAATTAGGAAGGCACAGTGTATGGCTTGAGTGACCACGTTTACAGTTTTGGAAGAAAGAACTTCTTTCTCTAACTTCTAAAAGCAAAATGGCAATAAAGAAAAGGATATCCGTGGTTGTCTCAAATGACCTAATTTAACTTTCTAGTTGCAATGTACAATTTATCTTAAATCGAGATCATTTGTTTCTTTCAACTATAAAAGCATAGCATTATGCGATGTAATTTCATTAAGCCTATAGGTATACATATGGAACTCTGATTCAAAAACTTTAGATAGTGTCTTATAGAATATATAAGCCATTTACTCCAGATAATTTGTTCCTCGTATAGATAACGTTTTGAAATGTCACTATTAAAACTTTTGATACTTGTAGCTGTTGCAGCAGGTTGTCTTCAGATCGTACTTACTGAAGATATTAGAGGAAATACAAACGTAGAGAGACAAACCGGTACAACTAATCTTATGGGGAATACATCTTTAACTTCCATCATCATTCCAACGATTTTATTGTTGGCGCTAAGTATTATCTTCATTCCTCTTATTGGACTTGCCTTTGGTAGCTTTGGTAGACCTGGAGGGTTTGGAGGATATAATATACCATTTTTCCCGGCGAATAAAAGGTCAGAGCACAACTTATTCTCTACCACAGTCCCTCGACAGTTTATAGAGCTTATGGCTAAAGTCGATGATGCATTACAAACGAGTTCGAGCCAACGCATCACTGGACACTAAAAGTGTACTGAAAGCAAAAGAAATAAAAAGATGTGAGTATAATTTTGAATTGAATAACTTAATGATATCGAGGATACACGGATAATATCGATTTTAAGAGCTTAATGATATCACATATATATATATCATACGTATTGAAATACATATAATGCTAGATATGAAAGTGTAATATATATATAACGCAGCATTGTAATTAGCAAGCACAATTTGTATCCAGAAGTTTTACAATTTTCTCCCTATTTCTTATAATTTAACTTAATTAGACCAGTTTTTATATAAAATCAACCAGTCAAGTTTTGAACAGAAAAACAATAGAATAGATAGCAAAAACTCTTTTAAATTTTAGTTCTCTTATTTACCAACTTATTTTAATTAAAAACAAATTTGCTGCTCTTTCACAAATGCCCCTGTTAGCTCAGCGGTAAACCTGTTGTTTATAACTCTAAAATTGGGGCTCGATACCCACGCTGGATAGAGATCAGATAGCCCAACGTATTGATCTGTACTTATCAGCATAACGACAACTTTCACTAATAAAAGGTTTATCCATTTTATTACGTTAAACAAATTAACTTTTTATATTTCCATCTTTTATTTAATTAGTTAAAGGTTTATTGTTTAACATTGTCTAAGGTTCGTGTGTTTGATGCCTAAGATATGGAAGTGTGATATATGTTGTCATGTATAAAGTATCATTTGGTTCAATAGTGTTGAGTTACTGTGATGGACACTGCGTTAACTCTTGTAAGAGTTACAATATTTGATAACCTATCAAAACTGGTAATGGGTACTCTAATGACCACTAGAAGAAACTACTGACAAATATTTTTGTTGAGTAAAGCGATGAAAGTGATATATTCAGTTGCTATTCCATAATGTGATACTCAATAAAAACTGGTGGTAGGTTGATCTAAAGCTATATAAGTGACCATTAAGATAAAGTTATGGTAATGAATGGTGGTTGAGGAGTTATATGATAAGCACTATAAATACTTGAAAATGCTTGTATTTTCTTAAATTATGATAAAGCTCGTTAAACTTTGAACAATAACACTTTAAAATTGTTTCTAAATTTACGTGTTATTTGCGGAAACGTTTCTTGTCTTAATGATCTCGGGATAATCTCGTCATTTAAGAAAAAAATACACCTTTTGATGCCATGCGTTGTCATCTTCACGTTTATTTAAAATACTAGCGTAAAACTAAAGACAGATAATTTTATCATCGGCAAGTGTTGAAAACTTCTCAACACAAATATGGAAAAGCAACTGAAACATGAACATGTTACCACACTTTCTTAGGATTTCTTCTTAGTTCTAAATTAGTTAAGTTAGGGAAAAAGACAAGAAAAACACCTTCTCAAGATCACGATAAGAAAGTAACGACTCTAGCTCCATAGTTAATAAACGAATGTATTAGCACA